AAATTGTCATTCAGTGGAGAACAGATGTGGACCACTCAGATTCAAAGGAATAACACAGCACAAATGCCCATTTAAGTAAATAAGGGACAGAAGAGCCTGGCAGTTGGAAAGGCAAAAAAAAGGGCCGTTGTATAGATTCTTGATTTGGGGGTCTGTGTTTGTTTGCTAAAGCTGCCATAACACTGTGGCTTAAACAATAAATTTATTTTCTCATAATTCTTGAGGGTAGAAGTCCAAGGTCACAGTATTAGCAACTTTGCTCTCTTTTAAAGCCTCTTTCCTAGGCTTGCAGATGGCCATCTTCTGGTGTCTTCACATGGTCTTTCCCATGTGTGGTCTGTGTCCCAGTTTCTTATAAGGAGACCGATCTGTTGGATTAGGGCCCACCCTAATGACCTTGTTTTAACTTGAGATTACCTTTAAAGAACCTCTCACCAAATATAGGTACATTCTGAGGCATTGTGGGTTAGGACTTCAGCCTATAAGTTTAGAGGACACACAGTTCAGCCCATACAGCAGTCATTGGGAGGGTTTTAGGGGCCTTTCAAGCTCCAAAGTCTGAATGCTGAACTTTGTACAAGTCCCCATTTGCCTGAGGCCTTGTCCACAGCATGCACCTGATTCCCAAAGGCACCCATGGTCCCTCACAATTGGCCATTCCATTAACTCAGGAGGGAGTCACAGCTGTAAAACAAAGGCCTAGAAATACCATATGCATTGATAAACATGATTAGTGTTCAATAGTATATAAAAAAAATGAAAGTTAAAGCTGACTATAAGACTGCAAATCTTAGGAGGTACTGGAAATTCTGTTAGAACTGATACTGGGGGAAGGAGATTTTGACTTTGCAACTATATTTGAATTTCATGACAAATTATGTTATTTTCTTGTCAATTAAAAACACTGGTAATTTTCCATAACTAAGTGGATTCAAGGAGACTAACCTTCTGCTTAGTATGTCCTTGCTAATATTTTCCTAAGAAGAAAGCCACAGAGCTACAAAACTGTCACCAGCTGCTTCTCATTAGTAATGTGGTTAGCAGATGTGGGTTTCTATCGTCATAAAGCATGAGATAGTTAATCCATTTTTGTGGGTTTCAGATGGATAGTGATTTATCTTGGCGGGATTAATTTTAAAGTGTGGTTGCATCAGCTAAAGGATATATGCACCTTTTCCTCTTTCACTTCATGTTTGTGCTGGAGAGAAAAATATATTTTAGGATATTTCTTCTGGAAGGCAGAGAACTGTCTGCTGTGAAAAGGACAGTTGATCTCACCGTCTTCCACCTGGAGAACTTTTCAAAGTTGGAGGTTGGATCGGTTACCTTATAAGCCTATTTTGTCTCTTTGGCCTCTTTAGTAGCAACTGAGCAGCTCTTGCTTTTGTTCCTCTGGCATTGGGCTGCCTTTGTGGTAGTGACCTTCAGGCTTGCTAAGGGCTGCAGTTTCGCCTGGGGCCTTCCTTCCTTATGAAATTGCACAACACTCAAACCTTGGATGGGGCCCCAGATCCTCTAATTCTTTCCTTTGACGGACTCTTGGCAATATGTTCTCCCTTTCAGCCCAAGTGTAGCTTTATACAAGATCTGTTTGTCACCAAAATTAATTTGGCCATTTGCCCTTTAAGCCTGGAATCAAATGGTATCATGGCAGACTTATTCCTAGATAAAGTATAGACTCAACCAAAGGTTTTATTACTGCTGCAACTGAAGATCGGCAGGTAATAATAACAGTAGTGGGTGCTTTTTCTGGAACTCTTCATAGTGTGGTAGGTACAAGTGCTGCTAAGCGCTTTGCATTTGTTGTCCCATTCAGCCCTCACAGCCCTCACTACCTTCAGAGGTAGAAGGTATCCGGATTTTTCCAAAGAAGAAACTAGAGCCCATGACCCTCAGCTCCTTGACCATTGTCATAGAGCTAACAAGTTGCCACCTGCCATTTGAACTCTATGCTCTTAATTACCATGCTATATTATACATCCATGAAGGAGAGGGAAAAAACAGACCATTGGGTTTTGAGGGGGCATGGAATCAGAGCCTGAGTCATAGAGCTGTAGGAAATTATGGAACAGAGCTCTTCCAACCCCCTCATTTTAAAATAGCAACAATCCTTGCCTTGTTCTGAGAAATAGTAAGATAACAGCTTGAGCAGCAAAGATTACATATTGATAGGTGACAGGAATAAAAGATTATTATGAATTATCTCAGTCATTTCCTTTTTTAGAGGTAGAGAAAATAACATGGCTGTTCAAAAATTGCCTAAGCTTGTCTCACAGTCCCTACGAAGCCATGGAAACAGATGTGTACTCTTTTTTATTTCAGATTTCATTATCAACAGTAAGTAGATTTCCACTGACTACTTGAAATTTCCTAGATGGTAATTTTCACTCTGCAAGGAACCAATAACCTTCACAGGGATTATTTGAAATGACAACAGCCCAGGAGGCACTGAATGCCAATCAATCACAGCTTAATGAGTTCCTTTTCTGCAAGGAAATATTTTTTGGAATAGTGGAGAATAAAAGAAATCAATGGGTGGTCCTTGCCCTACTGTAGTTTTAAATCTGCTTGGGCAAACCAGCCAAGCATAATATAAAATTCTTCAAAGGAAAAATCCCAATGAATTGTGTAGACAGGGAACACTTGGATCTTGGTAGGTGAGAATCTTGCAGCCCTTAGCAAGCCTGAAGGTCACTACCACAAAGGCAGCCTGATGCCAGAGGAATGAAGCAAGAGCCGCTGAAGTGCTACTGAAGAGGCTAAAAGGAAAAATAAGCTTATAGGATAACCAATCCCACATCTAACTTGGTAGGTAGGTAGTGGTTGAAAGGGGCAGGAGATGTTTGGAAGGATGAACTCAAGCAGGAATTTGCAAAGCATCATTGAGAAATACTGACGGGATGAATTTGGCTAATCTGAAAGTGATGTGATTGTTGAAAATTAATTTAGGTTCTGATGGAAGATGTAAAAACAGCTTGATAGTGTGGGATTTTTAAATGGATATATTTTTAAAACCCCAAGTAATCCAAATACCAGTCTTCATTACTGTCTGTCCTCCCAGGGTTAAATATTTCATTATATAACTTACTACCTTATGTAAGTGCCCTCATTTGCTATTTAGTTGGAAGACCTATAACTTCCTTCAACTCTGTGGACCAAAAGATCTTGATACTTTGGGAGAGAATTTCCAGCACTTCCCTTTTGCTAATAAAGGACAGTGTCCTCAAGTGCCCAACCTCTGGGTGATTACATTTGTAAAACTGTTCAAAATAGTACTCGTACTCTCAGGAATCAGCTGCAAAGTGCTCTCTAATAAGCAGAAATCTCACATAACTCAGTCCTCTGGGGGCTCATGCCTCACCTGGAGCAAAGCCAGAAACGTCTGGGACTGCAGGTGCACTTGGGCACATCGGGACCTGCTGGAACAGCGAGCTGGCCTCATTGCAGTTGATTTAGGAGAGGGCTGGAGGGTTGAGCTTCTGCTGACATTTGCAGCTTGGAAAATCCAGCTCCATTAATTGCAAAGCAGATTCTGTTGGAATGATTTTTTTAGTAGGATACTTTTCTCAGTTTGAATTCTTCCTTTGGGCTCCAGGTGCTTTCCAGTCTCTATTTTTATTGTTTTAACTCCTGGTATGGGAGACTGTCAAAGTTTTGCCAACACATGAATGTGCATTCAAAACATGAATGTGCATTCATAGTGTGGTTCATGGACATGGCTTGCAAGCTTCAACATGATATACTTCGTGAGCAAGCAGCTTATACAACCCTTTTACAGGAATTGGTGCACACTCCCTCTTGCTGCCCCCCTCTTCCCCCATGAAAACATGGGGATTTTGCTTTCGCTGCTGAGAGTTAAAGGGCACCTTGACCTCATGTTTTTGTGGGGATGTTTCTCAGCAGTGTGATTTCTGGACCCTCAGTTTTGAGGTCTGAGGTATGTAGTTTGTTTTGTTTTGCTTAAGTACTGGTCCAGGAGGCTGGGTTTCTCTGCTTACTGTGTACTTGGGCCAGATTCATTGGTTTTCTGAATCTCACTTTCCTCAGCTCTTCCATTCTATGAAGCTGGAAGCAGCAGGTGGATTGCATCACCCATGCCTTAGGATAAAAGCTACTTACTGTAGGCTCTGCAGGGTACGTAGGATTTCTGGAACCACCCAACTACACTTGTACCAACCAAAGGCCATGGCCTCCAGGATAAGAAAGTCAGATCTGCAAACCCAAGTTCAAACTCTTTGATAATTAATTATATGTGGCTTTTCACACTCATGTTTCTGCCTCCACTGATCCTATGCTCCATTCACATTGGAATTTTGGCATCTTCCTAAGTAACCATCCCTGCAAATCTCTTCAAGGCCTACCAGTGTTACAGGCAAGTAAACAGATGATTACAAAGCAAGGTGACAAATGCTTGGAATCCTGTCTCTGGACCTTTGCCTATGCAGTTACCTCTGCTCCACTTACCATCCGTTGTTACCTCTCTGAAGCTGACCTCAGACCCAACTAAATGTTTCTCCTACTCTGTTCTCAGGGTGTTTTCTCTCACTTAACCACACAATATCACACCAAGTTCGTTGGGTCTGTTTTCCTCCCCCCACTAAACCACTAGCTCTCAGCTGTGGTAGGTTTTATTCATCTCCTGGCCTCAAAACTGAGCACACCAGCGGAGCCCTCAGTAAATACGGAATGAACCAATCAATGCAAGAATGAACCTGCAGCGCCCAGTTTTGCAGGCTTGCAAAGTACTCTTCAGAGCTGACTTTGCTTTCCGTGCTCAGGCAGCTCGGGTTAATTGCACAGTAGAGGTCAGGAGTTGGGGGCGGAGCTGGGGTCTGTCGGAGGCTAAAGGAAGGAAGACGGGGCCCAATAAGGCCCACGCTGCCCAACGTCCGGTGAGCTGCCTTGGACTAGACTGCCGGCAACGACTTAACCTCCCGGAAGCGGCTCGTATCCCCGCCCCTCTGGGGGGCGGGCGTGGCCTCATGAATAATGATCACAGGGGGTGGGACCGGGCCCACCCCCTCCGGCGGGAAGGGGGAAGCGCTGAGGCTGCCTGACTGGAATGAGGGTAGCTGCAGCGACTGCGGCGGCGGGAGCGGGACAGGCCATGGCGGTGTGGACACGGGCCACCAAAGCGGGGCTGGTGGAGCTGCTCCTGAGGGAGCGCTGGGTCCGGGTGGTTGCCGAACTGAGTGGGGAGAGCCTGAGCTTGACCGGAGACGCTGCGGTGGCTGAGCCTGAGCCCGCTCTAGGGCCGGCGGCGACAGCCTTCAACGGCCTCCCAAACGGTGGCGGCGCCGGTGACTCGCTGCCCGGGAGCCCGAGCCGCGGCCTGGGCCCCCCGAGCCCGCCCGTGCCATCAAGGGGTCCGGCGGGCGAAGCTGGCGCGTCGCCTCCGGTGCGCCGGGTGCGGGTGGTGAAGCAGGAGGCGGGCGGCCTGGGCATCAGCATCAAGGGCGGCCGCGAGAACCGGATGCCGATCCTCATCTCCAAGATCTTCCCGGGGCTGGCGGCCGACCAGAGCCGGGCACTGCGGCTGGGCGACGCCATCCTGTCGGTGAACGGCACCGACCTGCGCCAGGCCACCCACGACCAGGCCGTGCAGGCACTGAAGCGCGCGGGCAAGGAGGTGCTGTTGGAAGGTAAGCGGGGCTGGCGGGCGGGCTGGCGGGCCGACGCTCACTTTGTTCCTGCCACCCTACCCCCTTTGCGGAGCGAGCCCCTTCCCTCCCCCTCCGAGTCTTCGTCGCCCCTCTGCTGGTGACCCAGCTCTCTCCAGGACCTGTGGGCTGAGGCTTTGAGTATGGAAAAACTGATGCTACTTGCAGGAAAAGTTGGGCAGTCGCGGACTTGCAGTCCCTGGAAGACTCGGTTGAGATTTAGTAAAATGCAGCCGCGCTTGAAGCCCCGCCCATACACGCTAAACTGACACTAAGAATTTAGAGGGCTCGAGTTCTGGAGGTCTCGGTTTGCCTCCTGAGGAGTGCCGGGTTAGCGGTTTCTTCACGCACCTCTGGCTCTCAGGGCGGACGGGTTTGTTTAAAAAAAAAGTTATCCAGAGGGATGTCAGAGGTATGGTTGGACAAACCACCAAAACGCCAGTTAATTTATGGGAATTTAACCCATCATTGGCTCTCGACAATAACCAAAGGAGATCATAGAACTTCCTTGAAGCCAGAAAGCTGAAACAGCAAGTTTGTGTGGTTAATGAGCCCTATTTAACAGTGGAGGCTCACGTGTTTGAACATTTACAGCCAACTAGAGTTTTGCCCCTTTTGCAAGAGACCGGCGCCAGCTTCCTTCCATTCACAGGCGTGCTGCTGCATGGCTTTAAGCTTTTAGAAGTTTGAAATGTTAAATCGCAAGATACGTTTGAATAGCCAGAGTTATTACTTTAAGTATATGTGGTCTGGATCTTTCTTGGTGAATTTATGGGACTAAGGCAGAACTAAATCTCATCTCCTTGAAGGACTTGCATTTTGGAGGTGATAGAGTATTGTAAATGTGATCTGAAAAGCCAGTTAGATCAAAAGTTTTTGAGCGATTGGCCGTTTTCACTGGTGATTCAGTCATTCAGGAAGCATTTATTGCTGGCTGTATGGAAGAGAATATAAGAGATGATGTGTTTCTGGTCCTCTACTTGAGGAAGTGATAGGAAAATGCAAAACTTACAAGTTATTGATTATCTAGTGCCAACTTTATATAAATGCCAAGGGGATGCCAAGTTAGGGAGTATAGTAGTTAGTGAAAGTGAGGATTAGTCATGGAGAACTTTTTCAAGGAGCTCAATCTTGAGCCACATCTCCAAGGATGTGATGGACTTAGGCAGACGTGACTCAGGAGGGTATTCCTGGTCCAGAAAGAACAGGGGAAAGGGGTGGGGAGTGGGAGTAGGAAGGCTCTAGTTCTCAAAGTGAGAAACCAGAACTCCTGCTTGGCAAAGGGATTTTCACTTTTTTTCAGTATTGCTGGTAAATATTTTGAAAAATAATTAGTTTGCAAGTACATGGTTTGATGTGCTCTAATTGTGAAATTCCAGTGTTCCACCTTTATAATATCCTGTTTATAAGTCATATATATCTCACTCATAGGTGGGGCTAGACAGTGCTTAGAAATTAGTGTTAATAAAGCAACAAATGAGCAAACAAGAAAAGCAAACAAAAGCTCATAGACACAGACAACAGTGTGGAGGTTACCAGAGGGAAGTGGAGGTGGGGGGATAGTAAAGAGTAAAGGGGGGTGAAATATACGATCACAGAAGAAGATTTGTCTTTGGATGGCAGGCACACAATGCTTTATTATAGAATTGTACACGCGAAACCTATATACTTTTATTAACCAGTGTCACCCCAATAAATAAAAAAGAAATTAGTGTTAATAAAAGGAGTAAAATTATGTATTGTGGCTTGGGTGGTGTGCATATAAAGAAATTGTTACTTTGACCATGTACCTTGAAAGTGTCCTAAGCGTTTGGTTATAAATTCTTAGAGCCCCGATATTGAATGTAATATTTATGTAGCACTCAGTGGTGATGGACAGACATTTCGAGTGCTTACGCCGTCCTTTTTTAAAACTCAGTTTTAGTTTAAGTATAATTTGAATCTGGTATTTATACCAACTAAATGAAAATCATTTAGTAAATGTTTTCGTTAGTTTAAATTGGCCACATGTGCTTTTAGAAGGTTTACAAATGGTGGCTTAGTAACATTTACTGAGTGCCTTTTTACCTAACAGACACAGGTTCAACTTTACTTTCCCATTTTGTAAAAGACAAGTGGTTTTTATACTAATGTGGGGTGGGACATATTTAAAATTATACTTTAAAGCCAAGGGATATAAAAATAAAGTTACTTAGGTTAAGCAAAAATCGCTGAAAGTAGTGATTTAATTGATCTAGTCAGACTATTTAAAATTGAGAGCTGGTGTCCTATCCAGGTAGGCCACTTTTAGAAGATAGATTTTATTGAATATGTTTAGCTTTTAAAGTTTTGGAACTGTATTGACCTTTCATTAGATGTCTCAAAACTTGAAAAACTGCTTTAACATAGCACAGTGATGCTCTTTTGTGGAGTGGGCAGGGAATTTCAGGCATGCCCTTGCCACCCTCAAGCAAAGGAAGGCTGCAGTCTCTGGTTGCCTGTGGTTAGGGAGCTGAGCTAAAGGGTTCCTGTTTATCTCTTGGATTTGTAGGGATTATTCATTCACACATCCAACATTTATTCAGCTCTGCCATGTGCCAGAGGCATTTAAATATACCTAATTTGTGTCCCCTGGGAAGTTTGAAGTTGAGATACAAAATAAATACAGCAAAGGGCTAAAAGCAAAGGGCTGTAATAATAGAACTCTGAGAGGACACAGCACAAAGGAAGGAGAGATCTACAGAAGATCATAGTGGGCATCAGAGGTTGAGGATGCCCAGGAAAAGGTTGATGGAGAAGCTGAAGCTTGAATTGAGCCTTCTCCTAAAGAGAAAGCTGCTACCAGTAAAGACAGGGTAAGAGACATTAAGAAGGTATTCTAGGCAGTGAGGGTGGAGCACAAATGACGACTTTGTGGTCAGACAGATACGGGTTTGTTTCTGGCTAGTGGTGTAACCCCTAGGCAAGTTATTTAACCTTCCTAAACCTTAGTTCCTCATCTGCAAAACCAGGATGGCAATAATGACTCCCTCAGAGGTTGTTGTTCACTTGACAGTTTATGTGCTGGGTACTTTTTAGAGACTGGCATACAGCAGCAAACAAAAACAACAATAAAAAACAAAGTCTGAATGAGAAAGGTAGGGTAGGTGTGCCTTGAGTTAACAAAGATATTCTCAGAATAGCCAAGCTAACAGTTGTTAAAAATCAGAAAGCTTCATTTCACTTGAAAAGAAATATATAATAAGATTAAGAATTATTTTAGGTGAACAAGTTAAGAATGGGTTTGCATTTCTTGGATGCGAAGACCTTTTTTTCTAATCTAGTTTTTCTGTTTTTTCTATAATATGTGGTCTAGGCAAACTTCTTTATCCTTGAATTTTTCATTTCCTTTCCCATACCTCTTCCTTCACATTTACTACTCAGAACCTTAAAACCTGCTATTAACTGTGTGCTCGTAGTTTTGGCTAGTGACTCTTAGCAAATATGTAAAGAGACATGCAGATTGTAAGCCTAAACAGTGACTACCTACCTGTCAGATATTGTACATTGAATTTACTGTATCCTGTGTGCTGGAAATAGGGTCTATCCAGAAAGCTTCTAGAAGTTATATTTTTAGGGCTATAAAATTAGTTAAGCAAACGTGAATTACACTATACATCAAAAAGTGTTCCAGAGAAGGTCAGGGAAGACAGTGTACAGTGTCCAGTTTAAGGTTTGATATTTGAGAAAAGGTCAGTATTTTTAAAGCAATTCCCATGGCAGTATTGTTGAAAAGATCATCTTTTATTGCCTAAATATGGTTCTTAAAGTATTACTATCTAATCGACTGAAAAGAAAATGGTTAAATGTATAGAGGAAGTAGATTGACGTGAAATTTAACTTCGGGATTGAAAATAGCCCCAGATTTTACTTTGTGATCGATCACATGTGTGTCTTTGTACACAAGAGGTGAGGTACAGCCTGTGGCTATAGAACAGTGGTCATTCGGGGGCCCCCTCCCCTTGGCTAGGTAAGCACGCTATCCTCACTGAACAACAAATAATGTTGCTTGCTTACATTCCCCACTAACTATAATGCCTTGCATTTTTATCAGGGTTTAAAAATTATTGGTGCATTTTTATCTATATTTTCTCCTCTGACTTTACACAGTCCTTCGAAGTGGTGGGCTGTTTTATCTTTGTTTTATAGATGATTACACTGAAGTTCATTAAAATTAAGTGAGTTACTAAAGGTCTCAGGATTTCTCTTGATTTTTAAAAGAAAAAATTTAATGTTTCCTTTGGACAAGAGGGGAATTTCAATTCCCCTGGAATTTCAAAAGTTGTAAAGTCTCATCTTCTAGATGAGAAATTAATGACCAGAGAGGTTAGTGGCGTGTTCAAGGTCATCTAATTAGTGGCGGAACTTGGACTAAAACCTAGTGCAGTGCTTTCTCCCTGTACCATGCTATCTACAACCAGTCAGATCCTTTAGCATCTCTTACACATCATCATGTTGCAATGTGTTGTTAAGAGATCAATGTGCAGAAGAAGTTGAAGGTGGTCCCTGGCATCTGAAGACTTAGACTTAAAATTGGGGAGAGAAATATACCACATAGAGAGTAACTGCTAAATGTGTGGTACTCACTCTTGTTTAAAAGTTCTCTGAAGGGACTTATGATCAGTTGGGAGACAGAAGAGTTGAGTATGACTTCATGGGGAAGGGATAATTTGATCGGAGGTGTGAAGGACAGATTGCTTCTCTATATGGAAGGCTGTCCAAGTGGAGGAGGTAACCTGAGCAAAAACCAAAATGAGCATGACATATGATAGGAAGTGAGGAGAATTGGAATGGACTTGGGGAAAGAAAATAAAGTTGGGTAGATAAATCGGAGCCAGACTGTGCAAGGCCTTGAAAGCCAGCCAGAGGAATTTGGACCTTTTTCATTCTGTCAGTCAACATTTATTAAGTACCTATTGCAAACAAGGTATTATGGTAAATGCTAGAAATTCAAAATTGGGAGT